TCTGTATTACTTGATGGATTTGTCATATTCGATGAAAGATGACAAGCAAAAGTTGTCGGAACTGGGCGATTTGTTAGGTGAGATTTTGGAATTTTTTTCAGTTTTTTTTCTTCACTGAATAGATTTCAAAGTTTGTTGTGGATGTCGTAATTCATTTGTTTTCCTGCCTGTTTTAAATTTTTCTCAGTGGAACTGGGAAGAATTGGCCGTAGGCTCTTTGATGATTCGTTTTGGATAGTAAATGCGCCATACATTACGTACAGTAGCGAAATCTATAAAGACATTTTATTAGCCACTGGGCAATCTCGTATATTATGAAAATTGAGGGCAAATCAGCAAAAATCAGGACAGAGGATGCATTAAATAAAAAGACTGTGAAGGGAGCATGTTAAGTAAAATGATTGGAAAAAGATCTTGAATTGCTTCTCGGAAAGAGAACGAAACTGTGAAAATAAAGGAAGAGGAAAGCGGTATATTGCTATAAATTGAAATGCAAAGTTACGTTTTCAAGGAACATTATATTTAAGCGAAACATTCATTTTCCGAGCGTTTCGTATAGCAGCAGTATGAAGAGATGTTTCAGCTGAACGGATGAAAGCGATCACGAAGAACTTTCGGCTTGGATTTGGCTCATTTATCGATAAAAAACTTATGCCATTCGTGGATCCTCGACCGGAAAAGTAAGCATCTCGAACAGCATTGGTCGTACTCTCTTCACCTTGTCATGCTTTGGAGAAAGAAAATGTATAATGTTTACAGGCAGTTATCGCCTTGTCCAGAACAATGTGCGCAACCATATGGCTTCAAAAATCAGATGAGCCTTACTATGGATACCGCAAGGTTTTCGGTGAGTTCAAATGAGTCTTATACGCTTATTAGCTTGATGTGCCTTGTTAGATGAGCCTATTCTTCCTTGGCTTATAAGTGTGCAGAAACTGTTTTTCTTCTCATTCTCCGTTCCCTGCCTATAATTTGTTGCTTTTCCGAATTCGTTTTCGTTATAAGGAAAGTTCCGCACTGTTACAGAAAGAGGTTGAAGAAGCTGAAATTTCTGGCAATTTGGATGCTCCAGAAGGTGGCTTCGATGCTGTTGTACAAGCATTGACATGCAACGTATGTTTGTGTATACTTGTATTCTGATATTTACTTTTGCGTTCCCTGACTTGACGAGGAGTTTATTTCCTTGTATGCTCAAAAAGAATGCACTCTAAGCGTTCTTCTGATCTATTGCCTTCGTCATACTTCGCTTATCTGCCTTCGTCAGTGAGCACATTTTTTACTGTATTGAGTAGATTTTGTAAAGTCCATTTTATTTATTGAAGCATTAATTTAATTTCTTATTGCACTACGCAGTTTGAAGTTTTGATTTAGAGCAGCATTGGTTGGCGTGAACGTGCACGTAAAATGATTGTCTTCTCGACTGATGCTGGATTCCACTATGCTGGCGACGGACGGGTACGTTTCGCATCGTTTCATTCTGCAGCATATAAAATGGGTTTAAAACGTACTGGCTTAACCCCGCTGATAACTTCGAATGTTTGTACATGTTAATCAATGTGGAATAAGCAATCAGCAGTGCAATATGTGCATTGGATAACGAAGTATTTGTGTGTAAGAATGCCACAATAGTCGCTCTGCAGTTCTGGAAAAGCTTTAGTTGCCGTAGGAGTGAGTAGAAAACGAAGCGAATTCGAAGAACTGTTGAAGAATTGTTTGCTTTTTATGCGTTTTTTGCAGCAATGCAATGCAAAAAACGCATATTGACGAGAGGTTGTCTGTGTGTTTTTATGCGTTTTTTGCAGCAATGCAATGCGAAAAACGCATATTGACGAGAGGTTGTCTGTGTGTGTATGTGTCTGTGTGTGCGTATGCGTTTTTTAGATGCAATGCGAAAAACGCATATTGACGAGAGGTTGTCTGTGTGTGTGTTTGAAGCAAGCTGAATAGGGAGGGGAGTTTGACTTTTTGCCTATATTTTGTCACTAGTACTGGTTTTTACGCTTTTTTTTTGCAGTTATGCAATGCAAAAAACGCATATTGACGAGAGGTTGTCTGTGTGTGTGTGTGTGTGTTGCAGCAATGCAATGCGAAAAACGCATATTGACGAGAGGTTGTCTGTGTGTGTGTGTGTGTGTGTGTCTGTGTGTGCGCTGCGCGTCTGTACCGATTTTTCATCTCGAGACCGGCAAAT